TTTGTCCAACACCTTTCATGCCCATTAAAGAACTAATTTCAGTGTGGATTTTTCTGGAAAAAAACTTATTTAAAGAGGTGCAAAATGTAAATTTTCAGTTACCATGGACTCTTAAACTAAAGAAATAACTAATCTTTGGCCCTAATTTTACCTCTCAAAACAGGTGACCCCCACCTCCTTCTTTCGCAAATATCTCGACTTGTATTCTAGATAAATGGACATTTTTTTTCCATCCATATAAAGACAAGTGAACAAGCTTTAAGTCAATACAAATAACTCTACATGCCCAAAAAAATTGACGAGAGGCTGATTCCACCACGCTGCCTCACAATTATTTTTGAGCATCCCTGTCTTTCTGCTGGGGTTCGATTTCCGTTTTGGGAGGATTCTTATCGAGCATCTTGGTCTTTTTTCTGTGCTATACCCCCCCCTCACCCCCTCACCCTGGTTTGGCCTTGACAAGCAGAGCTGAAGCAGCCCGTCTCCTGAACGATGTAAATTGTGTTGATGGGGGCACACAACATCTACAAAATTACCAATATTGTAACTATATTTTTGTGTTTTGTTGTTTGTCTTTCCAGGAGGTGCAGTCTATCCTGCAGAGCTACCTGGGGCATTTCTCCGAGCTGGCCGGCGGCATGGTCAACTGTGGCTCTGTTCTCAGCTGGATGGAGGTTCGAGTCCTTCTTTTTTGTTTCTTTTTTTTTTCACAAAAGTCATGTTTTTTGTTGTGTAAAACTTGTATGAAAACTAAATGTGTTGGGGTTTTTTTTCGTGTGTGTATAAAACATGTGCAAAAAAGAAAGACTTTCATGTTTCTTGATCTTGTCATGTACAACTTGTACAAAAATAAAATATATGTGTTTCTTAGAATGTAAAACTTGTACAAAAACAAAATATATGTGTTTCTTAGAATGTAGAACTTGTACAAAAACAAAATATATGTGTTTCTTAGAATGTAGAACTTGTACAAAAACAATATATATGTGTTTCTTAGATTGTAGAACTTGTATAGAAACAAAATATTTGTGTTTATTGAGGTGTAGGACTTACGCACAACCGATTCTTTGTCTTTCTTTTCGTGTTTAAAGTGTACAAATACAAAAATGCAGAACTTTTGTGTTTCTTGGTTTGAAACCCCCCACCAAAAAAAAAATAAAAACCCCTTTTTTTCCCTCCCAGATGGACAACCGGGGCCATCGTCTGGTGGCCACAGACGACTCAGGCATCAACACCCCGGCCATCGCCGCCGCTCACGTGGTCAAACGGTACAACGCACAGGCAGCCGATGAGATCTCTCTGCAGGTTGGTACTGGTTTGGTTTGTTTTGTTTTGTCTGTTCTTTGTTTGTTTTTGTTTTTTTAAGTTTTTAGTTTGTTGTTTGTTTTTTGTTGTTGTCGTTGGGTTTTTTTCTGTTGTTGGGTTGTTGTTTTTGTTTGTTTTTTTTGGTTTTTTTGTTTATTTTATTTCATTGTTTTAAAAAAAAATTGTTATTACTTTATCCCGCTGCAAGTGCTGTAGACCTCTTACTAAAAGGAAAGAGGAGACGACACAAGGCTCTAAAATGTTTTGTTTTATTTTGTTTTTCCCCTCAGGTGGGAGATATGATCTCCGTCATCGACATGCCACCTGCCGAAGACACCATCTGGTGGAGAGGAAAACGTGGTTTTGAGGTAAATAAGTCGTAGTTTGGTGTGTTTGCATTGTTTTGAACTCTGAGCGAGGATTTTCCCCACTATGCTGTGGAGCCTTCTTTCGATATGAAACCTGAGACTGAGAGTGATGTACACATCACTAAATTGGACTAATTATTGGTTTTACTTTACTTTACTTTTATCCACCGCTTGTACCGTTTTGGGTTTCGCGGGATGAAACAGACGTCTCTCTGCCACCAGCTGGAGAGCTTGGGTGTGGGGGATGCCACAAGTTGTTAACGTTTTCCTGACTCCATCTGTTCAGGTCTTTCTAGGTCGCCCTCTGGCCTGTTTTAGTTTTTTCAATCTGTCCGTTTACAGTATTATCTCACTAGTTATTTTTTAAATCAATTGTTTGGTGTCTTTCGTCGCCAGGTTTACTGATGAAATGTTTTGGTGTTTTCTCCTCGCCAGGTTGGCTTCTTCCCCAGCGAGTGCGTGGAGGTGATCGGGGACAAGGTGCCGTCTGCCGTCGTCTCTCGCATCCCGGAGCCCGTGGCCTCAGCAGCCGCCGCCAGAAAACCCTGTGAGAGCAAGGTGGAAGAGGCTCCCTCTTCTGTGACCTCTCCCACTCCCACTCCCTCTCCCACAACCACCGCAACCACCACCGCTGGTTCTGCTAGTTCCACTGCCAGCACACACCAACAACAACACCAGCACCATCATCACCACACCCCTGCCTCCACCAATAGGGCCGCCACCCACCCCCCTCACCCCCACCACCTGCCCCACACTCCCCCCAACCCCCGGCTCCCACCGTCCTGCCCCCCCTCCCCCTCCCCATCATCTCTGTCATCAGCCTCTTCCTCCTCCTCCAGTCGTTTCGCAGCCATGACCTACGCCGGCTTGGGGTCGTCGGTGCCGCTGACCTTCACCTTGCCGCCGGGTACCTCGGCCCCAGGTTCCTCGCCCAACAGTCAGTCGGTCTTCCTCTTTTGCTTGCTCTTGTGTTAGTGTCTTGGGATGACTACTACTTACCTGGGTTTGGAATGCACCCATGATACTACTGGCCTGCCGTTGCTGCTTGCTGTGTGTCCTTGGAATAATACAACCATGACGTTTTTTCCCCGGGTGTTTTTGTTCCCCGATATTCCCGTTATTTTCACAGAAATGCGTCCCTCCTGGATAAGTCAATTCTATGTCCACCCTGCTGGGAAAAGTCCATATCCATCCATCGGGGATAAATTATCCGTCCCTCAGGCTTAAATTCATATCCATCCCTTGTGGATAAATCCATCCCTTCAGGACTGTAGCAAGTTGAAGATGATTTGTGGGTTTTTTAATAGATCTCCGCAAAGACTGAGCCTTCTTCTCAAAGGCCATGTGAGCCATGAGACCTGTTGTTTTGACAGATGAGTCGAGTCGTATACATTATCAGCATCTGCGTTCTGTTTAACCCCATACTAGTTGAGTGTCTATTAACTATCTGTCTGCCTGCGAATGCAACTTCGTAACTTTTAGATTATTTTAAAAATAAAATCTCAGTTGCGTCCCTGATAGTATTAAATGGGTTTTTTTTTGTTGCCTCCCCCTGTAATATTTCCGATTGACTAATCATAAAGATATGTGAGGCAGCATGGTGGAATCAGGCTCTCGTCAATTTTTGGGCATATTGAGTTATTGGTATCATCCTAAAGCTTGTTCATTAGTCTTGCTTTCAATGAAAAAATTACCCATCCATCTTCAATAGAAGTGGAGATATTTTCTATTGAAGGAGGTGGGGTCACCTGATTTAAGAGGTAAAATTAGCGAGAAAATGGCCGCCAAAGCTGGTAAATTCCAAAGCTGGAGAGTCCATGGAAACTGTAAATTTATATTTTTTGCCTTTAATCAACATTTTTAGGTGAAATCCTCAAAGGAATGAGTTTGTAAATGGACATAAAAGGTGTTGAGCCAAAACACAAAAATTTGATAAAAATTGCTAAGCAGGGAGAAAACTGCTGTTTTCTTTGATTTCATTATTTTGACGAGAGCCTGATTCCACCACGCTGACTCACATGTTAGTTCATCCATCCATCCTAGTCTGACGATGACCAATGCATGTATACAGGAGAATATTTCTTAAGCAAAATAGAAGAAATGTTGGTAAAATATAAGAAGACATGGCTTTTGCTATGGCCATTGGAACCTTGTGTGTCTGAGAATGCAAACGTTTTTGTCTTATGATGCCTACCTAACACTCAGTGAGAACCAAATAGCCCCTGCGACTTCCATCTTGTCAGCAAATGTTTAGGCTTACCAGTATTTTTTTTGTGTAAGGGACTGCTGAACCTCACCTGTCTACCTGTCGCGTGTTATTTTAGAGCTCTTTTAAGTGACTTTTCCATTTGTTTTTATTGGGCCACATTCTTTCAAGTCTTTCTGTGTCTTGAGGTTGCTGATACCTTCTGAGCTTTTGAGCTGTCTGTTCAGGACCACAGTACTTGGTTTGATGAAGAGAAAGCTACGGGATGATAGTTTAGACTGTCCTATCAAAGTTTATGACAGTTTATATGGTCCCACTGGAGTCTGCATACTTGGTTTGACAGAGAGAATGTTACACGATTGTCTCACCGATCTGTGGTAGTTTAGGTGGTCCTTGCAGAGTCTTTGGTGATTTTTAATGGTCTTGTCAGAGTCTGCGTACTTGGTTTGATGCCGAGAAAGTGACTGCATGGTACATAGTTGTAATTTAGATGGTACCGTCAGAATCAACATGCTTTAATAGAAAGAAAGTTGCAAGATTTTCTCATCAAAGTGTATGCATTTGGTTCAATAGGGAGAAAATTACAGAAGTGTTGGTAGTTTAGATCATCTGCAGGCACTGCCAAATTTGAGCTGGGTGGTGTGTTTTGACTGGCCGGCAGTGTTGCCTGTCTTCCTGTTGTCATGTGTTGAGATGGCTGTTTGTTTGGGGTTTTGAACCCACTCTCTGCTGGTCTGTTTGTCTGCCTGTCTGTGTTGTGTTCGGAAGACAACCTGTACGGGTTTTGATTGTTTTTGTCCCATACACATATTTGTCTGCCTTTTGTGTCTGCATTTGGCTGCCTGAATGAAAAGCTTGTGTACAAAATGCACGTGTGCTTGACTTGTGTGTAGTCATATCACAGACAAGATGGGGACACATAGTCAGTCGGATTACATGTGTGTTTGGCCACATGCTCAGCACGTCACAGACAGATAGCCAGTCAGAATACAAGCGTGTTTGGCCGCGTGCTCATCACACAGCACACATGTGCCAGAGATGCGACAACTCCTGTCATGTTGAAATAAGGTCAATGATCTCATGTATGCCCTGAGATATACCGCTTCGAGTGATTTTCATTCGTGGATCATCTCTGCTGTGTTTCCCCTCTGTTCTCCTTTCTCGCCTGGGTGAGGTGTTTCGTCCTCAAAATGACAAATTCGTGTCTTCTACTTTCCCCTCTTTCACACCTGGGCTTAGTTCTGGGGGGGGGGGTTTGTTTGTTGTTTTTATTTTTAATGGTTGCTTTGCATCGTCTATTTCACCCACTCTGTCAATGAGGTCAGATGGTGAATCGTCCAATTTCAAAATGGCCGATCTGTGTAGTTGGACGGGCTGTTACAATGTCCTTGTTGTCCCTGTCCCTGGCATCCCCAGCCTCCTCATACCTTTATTCACCTCCCTTCCACTCTCACCTCACACCCACACAGACAAGCTCTCAACTATTTTAAGAGTCTCTTGAAACATAAGATTGAATATGTACTGTGCAATACGGAATCTCTGTATTCAAATTTTTATTAAGGGAGGGTGGGGGGCGAGTTTGTTTAAAATATGTGTTTTATTTCTCTCCATGCAACGCCACACCCACACAGACAAGCTCTAAACTGTTTTATGATTCTTTTGAATTATAGAATTGAATGTCTACTGTATATTACTGTCTTTCAGGAAGGAATTTCTCTCTTTTTTTTTCTTTTTTTTTCTTTTTTTTTTTGTTGTTTTGTGTCGAGGGTTGGGGGGTTGAAGCTAACTATCATTATTATCGTCTTGGTATACAGATTAGGTTACTGAGAGTGAGCTCGAAATTTTTATTCATTTTACCCTGCCTTTTAACGTTTTAAGATGTGCTCCCCTTTGCTATGCCGCAAAAAGTGGTTTCATTTCCCCGTCTTGAAATGTTCACATGTAAACAAGAATTTGACTGTCTCTGCAATAGCAGTTTTATTTTCCTTTCCATAAGCCTCACTTTAAAGAATCAGCCTGAGACAGATAAAAATGTCTTTTAATGGATTAAAGTATGTGGAAAAAAAAGAGAAATATTCCCACTGTTGAGAGTAGGAAAAGGGAGAAAGGATAGAGAGAGAGAAATGTGTGACGAGGGGTGGAGGGGTATACAGAAACTGTTATTCGGCACATATGGAAGAACATCTGACAACACGTTCCTGTGTGTGGCTTGTGTTTTCAGCCTGGACTGAGCCGAGAAGCGAGCATGTCACAGACGGTAAACTCACAGATATATATACCTCCTGGATAGCGTTAACCCCCCACAGTACATGTCCAGACACTGCTGATAATAATATTATCCCGCTCAGTACCAGCAACCCCCCCCCCCCCCCCCCCCCACCCCCACCCCCCGGTGGTTTAAGTCATTTGTAACTAGTGAAACCTCCTGACAATGTGACAATATTAACTCTGTACGGTGAAGTGAAACACCCTCAGCCAGTTTAAATCATTCGGAAACAATAACTGCCTCGGTCCTCACACACAACGCTTTGGACAATGTTCCCTCCCCCAGTCCCACATAATGACATGCCTAATAACTGCAACTCCCTACTCCCTCTGCCATGCTTACTGCTGACCATCACATTCCCCTGCCTACAAAGTTTTATACGAACAAGGTGCAGTCACCTTATTATGTTTAGTTTCAGTAAGAGTTGCACTGCTCTTGCAACACTATTTAGGTCGTCTGGAGATTACAGAAGTTTGAAGAGATTAACATTCTCACAAAAAGGAGGAGAGATAAGGACGATAGATGTTTGATAGGAAAGAAGGAGGAGACCACACCAGTGTACCCACCAACCACCCACCCGCTTATTGTATAAGTACAGTAATTGTCATTTTGGAGTTGTAATTGATCATAGCAATACATTATGCATAGAGTGTCACTCGTAATAGGTCTCGACCTGAAGATATTTCTTTGTGACAATTTTAAAGATTAGCACTAGGTTAAAGATTAGCACTAGGTTAAAGATTAGCACTAGGTTGAGGATTAGCACTAGGTTAAAGATTAGCACTAGGTTAAAGATTAGCACTAGGTTAAAGATTAGCACTAGGTTAAAGATTGGTACTAGGTATCCATGGTGGTTTGTCCAACATTTTCAGTTTCTTTGATTTGTTTGTTACTTTTGGTCGTTTGTTTGAGAGACCCTTTGCATCATGAATAAATGCGAACACATAAAAAAAAAAGAAGAAATATTTGTTTCACGCCTATACACTCAAATGATTGCTGATGTTTTTGAGGTACAAATTAATGTCAGAGGTAAAGAGAGAGAAAGAGAAATGTTTTACACTGTGTTTGCCTGGCAGTGCGGGGGTGATACTGTGTTGCTGGAAGAAAATTTTAGTTTTATTGTTAGATTATGAGTGTTTACTCTTAATATAATCAGATTGTGAATTCCATTTACTTTGACTTTTGCGGTGATAATTCAAGTGTATTATGACCTCTGGTTTTGTTGAGTTTGGCCTTTTTTTTTTCTTTTACATTTTTTTGTGGGTTTTTATTTCTCCATTAACCCACCCAAAACTTCTCCCATGACTTGCGATGAGGCAATGACTAATGATGACCAATCTGCAGCATGATAACTCGTAGCAATCATTGAGTAGTAGTTGCACAAGACATTACTAAAAGTATGAACGTTCTGTTACTAAAGTAACTACTGGTTTTTGTGATGCATTCAAAAACAGAATTGGTGTTAACATCGGTCGGAGAGTAGAGAGAGTGTGTCTACCAGTCTGACTACTAATATCGTAGCATGTTTGTCTCGTATACTTCCGGATGGTACATTCATGGTGCAAGGAGCTTATTATTCTGTGTCCATTCGGTTGGAACTTTTTTGTGTTGGATTGCATCTTTTTTTTATATTTTATATTTTTGTTGTCTGGTTATTATTTTCTTTTTATTTATTTTGAAAAAAAAATTTCTAACATCTTGTCTTCAATACATAGATTTATTCATTTCTTATTACTAGCAGGTGTGTGAATTGTCCTGAGTGGTAAATTATTTGTGTTGTTGAAGGAACACTTAACTGGCGTGGAAAAAGCTGTTAATGCTGCCTTTGTATTTACTTGCCGCAGAGGGGGAAAAAGTTATATGTTTCATCTTGTGATGGACATTGCAAAGTTAATATTATCGGAGCCAAATTATTGCCTTGATTTGTTAACTGTTCATTCAACATTCTGAGTTTCTTATCAAAGATTCGAGTGGGCACAAAAGAATTTTCCAGAAGGCTGGCATTAAAGAAAAAAACCAAAAACAATGAAGGTTTTATTTCAATAGTTGTTTTACACTTTAAACAGTTGAGCTCGGTTTTCTTTGTTCATGAGCTGTTAACGCCTAACGCGTTCAGTTTGACATAACAAGTGGAAAGCTTTATGACTAGGATCTGTACCATCAGTTGTTTTGTTCTATGATGTATTAAAAAGTGGATTGTTTCATAACGTAATGTGGCTGTGTTGTCAGCTCTTCTGTTTCTTGTAGGCAGGGGCAGGGTGATCATGATGTCAGTATGGGGGGGGGGGTGTAATGATTTCCCGAAATCCTCTTCTTTGCCCTCCATTGCTAGATCTCTAAGAAGTAGCCGAGTGCTGGTTCTTCAACCTACAGTACAACTGATATTTTATGTAGCATGTGACCATTAATTATTTGAGTATTGATAAACAGTTTTTGTGGACTAAAAGCTCAGAAAAATATAACAGGAGGTTTTCAAACAAGAAATTTTCAATATGCTGTTTAGTTTTAGTTTTAGTTTAGTATGAAGTGTATGGCACTTGCTACTAAATGGGTCGTACAAGTGCCAAAGAATAGAGGTATAACTGGAGAGTAATATTACAAATAAAGGAAGAAGGAGAGATCAAGTTTACAGATATCTATTCTGTCTCGAATTTTTGCAATCTTTTTCACTTTTTTTCTCTGTTTTTTCCCCCCTCCCTCCATCATCGTCCTGATGTTGACCCTCCTCTCGACTGATGGAATGCGGTGATTTGTGCAGTGATGAGGAAGCACGGGAAACTTCTGTCGTTCCTTCGTACCTTCTTTTCCCACCGGCCGCCCAGGAATCAGCTCAAGCAGTCCGGCATTGTGAAGGAACGCGTTTTTGGCTGTGATCTCGGGGAACATTTACTCAACTCCGGGCATGATGGTAGGCATCTGTGTGTGTGTGTGTGTGTGTATTTGTGTTTGTATGTGTGCACCAAACCAATATGCCAATACCTGGTCAATAATAGCAATGATGATAATAATAATAATAATGATAATAAAAATAATATTTCTCTCTCTCTCTCTCTTCTGGAGCTGTGGCTTCATATACGGTCAGCGATCCGACAGCACGCAGGAACTCAACACTTGCCCGGGGGTCCTTATAAAGTGCTGAAAGTGGGTTACTGAAATGTCCCAGCAGACGGGTAAAAATAATATTTGAGATAATAATTACAGTGCCATAATAAGAAGAATAATAGAAATTGTATTGTGACTAATCCTGAACAGGCCCAAAAGGATGTACAATGCAGAATTATGGCTAAACTGATGCACCAAAAAACACCCAAAAAATGCACATAGTGAGATTCTGATTAAAGAACACACCATACAAATTACTCTTATCTTATCTCATTTGTTTTTTTTTTCTTAATTTCCTTCCTTCTCCCCCAGTGCCCTTGTTGCTAAAGAGCTGTACAGACATCATAGAGGAGTACGGAATTGTCCATGGCATCTATCGTCTCTCAGGCATAACCTCCAACATACAGAAGCTCAGGTAAGACAAAGCTTGCTCCTTGTGGTGTCCTGTGGCTACTGTCGGACGATGGACAGAACTGAATCAAGACAGACATCAATGTTTACATTAAGGACCGGAAGTGTTTATTACTGTAAAATTCGTATTCGTTGTTTTACAATACTCGAATACGGTAAAGTGTGTTTAGCCATAGGATATTTAGGCCTTTCGGTTTTTACACGAGAATGCCAAACTCATGGTTGTTAGTTTCTTAGGGATGACTTTTGCTAGCACTGGTGTGGTTAGCTGCTTCTTTCCTATCTTCTATCTATCTTCCTCATCTCTCCTCTTTCTTTTTTGTTTTTGTTACTCCCTTGTTA